CAAACAGATATCATCAACATAAGATAATCGAAAAGTAGTCGACCTGATCACATTGTCTAAAGATCAAACAGATATCATCAACATAAGATAATCGAAAAGTAGTCGACCTGATCACATTGTCTAAAGATCAAACAGATATCATCAACATAAGATAATCGAAAAGTAGTCGACCTGATCACATTGTCTAAAGATCAAACAGATATCATCAACATAAGATAATCGAAAAGTAATCGACCTGATCACATTGTCTAAAGTTCAGTCACGTGTCACCTCTTCACCAGTTCAACCATATTAACAAAAGTTGGTTTTCTTGTATAACACATGATATAATCATAGGACAAATAGTAATATCACCAACAAAACCAATCCGCTTATCTCAGAGGAAAGCTTGTGTAAAGACAATGTCGAGAAGATTGACGTCACATGCTTCATTATAAATTCAAAGTTGTCCTTAAAGGTAACTTGAACAACAGTTACACTTTTGTAAACAGTTATGAAAACTAATAACCTGTTAGATCGTGATTTCACTGTTATCATTATTATGACTGTTACTATTGCTTTATCGTGAATCAAAGCCTTTGTACAATTTACTCTTTCACGTTTAACTTGGAACAGCGGGCATTTTACCAATTTGATTTGGACATAAAATAAGGTTTGATCCTCTTTTTAACAGTCATATTGCTAAGTATAACTATTCAGGTTTTGAGGTCAGTTGTTTTGATAATATGACTGAATCAACAACACAGTCAAATCAGTCTAAAAGCATGCCTACTACTTGTGCGACTGGACTTTTATATATTTCTCTTGGTTTTTCATATGCCACCATAGTCTCAATGAAGGCGATTTAGTTATTGCCTATTTCTCTACGGTTTCCACATGTTAGGAACACTTCTTATTTTCTTATGCTTAGATGCTAATAATTTTAAAAAATCATATGCAAGAGGACATGTTTTTATGGTCATAATTTACTCTTTATGGCATGATAGCAATTAATTATCACTTATTAATGAAGATGGCAAATTCTGCTGAGCACCTGGTCTTATTAAAAACAACCCTGAATTATTGTAACAGAGAATCATGTTGAGCGCGCGGTCCTGTTAGAAACAATCTGATTTATTATTGAAGATGGAAATCAAGTCGATTTTTCCTTAACGCCATCAAAAGAGTAATGTTAATTAAAGAGGGCGTATACTCTATGAAACAGAAAGACATATATTGGATATTAGTAGAACAGGTCCTTCTCCACTAACCAACAATAATACAGAACTACGACATCAAACGAACAAAAGAATAGCTAGTGACACCTAGGGAACAAAATGAAAAGCAGATGGGAGAGGCACCAAATTAAAAAGTGATCAAATTACTCCAAAATCGTGGCTTCGAAGCGCATAACAATGAATATTCCTACATATGGATTACGAAAAAATATAACTGACAGAAAGACCAACCGTATAGGTTCAAAATTAATTACGAGTCCCCAAAATAATCGGAGCGAAACATAAGTGGATCTGTTATTATGCCTGTAAGCGCCCAAAAAACGGCAAAGCAATTAAACCAATGGGCTTAACAACAGCGATAAATACCACAATAGACTACGGGAGTTTTTCTACACTCCTTCGTATTGGGGCTAACGTCTTGAGGGGTAAGGTCAAAGGTCAAGGTCACGAAAATCCAAAAAAAAAAAAATCCTATTTGGTTAACGTGGTGACCAGTTTTGGCGGATATTTTATAATATTTTCCCTCATCGTTCTGCCAAAAAATGGACCGTGTTCATTGATAACGATAGCCATACGGACACATTTTCGTATTTTTTGACAGCCGAATATGATCAACGCTGCGTTGCGGAGGTATGCGTTCTGCTGAGTTATCTTTGGTTACAAGACACAACTGATTATGTGGCGAAGATCATACCTAAGTCACACACTGACAGTCCTTAATTGGTACGGAACGAAAGAACTATTTAACTTCCTTTGCCATATAAAAACCATACCAGACCCCACGCTAAACGAGCTCTGGACAGATAACCGTCCAAATATAGAGGCCGCGGCTGCACCTTTTCCGATTATGGCACCCACTCAACAACACACATTTAATGCGATTACACTCGCGGAGAAAAAAAATAAATCTCGATACTGGTGCAAGACAGGTGTATCAAATCAAAACGTAAATCTGTTCACTTCAATGTAATGCTTGAGGGAACATGTACATAGAAGTACAGAATAAATATTACATTCACACACATGTCCACGGCTCTAAACATATCAACGTATTGTACAGGTTTAATCAAAACAAAAAATGCACCAGCACAACACTTTTAAACCCCCACAAAATGACATTCATCGTTATTTTACAGTTTGTATGCTTTCTGAAACAAAAGGTTTCACAGAAATAACTACCGGATACACATCTCTAAAAGGGGGAAGGGTTTGGTTTGAATTTCACGCAAAGCTACACGAGGGCCATCTGCGCTAGCCGTCCCTAATTTAGCAATGAAAGACTTAAAGGGAAGGCAGCTAGTCATCATCACTCACCGACAACTCTTGGACTACTCTTTGACCAACGAATAGTGGGATTGACCGTCACATTATAACGTCTCCACGGCTGAAAGGGCAACTATTTGTTTGGTGGGACGGCGATTCGAACCCGCGACCCTCAGATTGCGAGTCGACCGCCCTAACCATCTGGCCATGCCGGGCCAGGGGGGTGGGGGGGTGGGGTGTAGAGAACCCGAAATAAAATGAGGTACCTTAAATCATCACACTAGCATTTATACACGAAAGAGCTTTAGAAAATGTTTACCATTTCTGGTTTGACTTAACTTTTGCGCTATAACAACGTATTTAACAGCGCGTCAGTCTTGCCAATATATATATATATTTAATTGATGTAAAACTAAACATTTATTATTATTTGTCGGATACATTTTCAAAACAAAAGTTTTGACGTTATTTTACAAATGTTCCGCTCGAGACTGAATTCCAGTATTCTTTGGAGAAACTCATTGTAAATACAACAAACCAACTGTTATGATATATATAACACTTTTTGATGGTGAAGCGTGATGTATAGATGGATAATCTGTGTAAAATTACATTACAATATGAATGATAATAATTTTCAACAAGTCTTTCTTTATTGGCCCTATAAGTAGGGTTATCAGATGTCCCGGGTTTCTGCCTTATTTTTGGTCCGCATGAAAGACAGTAAAATTAAATTGTCCCAATTTCTCTACATGTCAATGTGAGCTTGATATATCACGGTTTGTAATTATGCACGGCTCTTTTAACTTCACTTGGAAAATAACCTGCCAAAGGCAAATCGCACGGTACAGTGTTACCTCCCTCTCTATTCCATTTTTCTTAACCTAACCTGTTGTTGGGCAGCTGCAGGAATAGAGGTTTGAAGACCTGCCCAGCCGCGAAAAAGAAAATGAAGAAGCAACATTTTTATTTTGAGTTGGCTGAAAACAAGTTAGGCACGTTTTATTATTATTATTTATTATAATTATTTATAATCTATTATTATTTAATTAGATAAACCTTTATCAATTTCGCCTTTATCGCCATACAATAAACATCAGATTATTTAGCAAATAATAATGTAATTTAAACTGTTTAAGGGTGTGTTCAGTGTCATTCTGTACTAGTCTTTCACTCTGGAAACCTGGTAACTATACTTATAAGATCAAGATGCTATTATATTTATTTTTATTAGGAGCCCCCCCCCCTCTCCCCAAGGTCAGTAAAAAAAAATGTTAAAATTATCTTATTGTGTAATAACATCACCCAAAACACCAAAAATAGTAACAGAAGTAAATAGAACTTTCCCCAGATCACGTGATGTCATGAAGACAATCTGGTTGACATCACCATCTCCATGCACGTGATGTAGATAGAAAACAGAATCTTCGTCTGCTCTAATGTCCTGTTCTTTACACGAGAGCCACACCATAAATAATAAACTAATATTTATTAATACAATTGTCAATAATTCAGTTTTCCGAGATATTTTTATGAATTGTTTAGAACTCCAGTTTTTTGCTATTCCATGAAAAGGTGACTGACTGAGTGTATGTATGTATATAGCTATAAATACAAAAATCACATCTATCAAAAAGTGATACAAAAATTCACAATTTTAAGTATCACTACTAAAAGTATGAAGTGATAATTACACACATTCACTCGTGCGAGTATTACACGGCTCATGGCGATATAATACGCATCAAACTTAGCTCAGAAGATTATACATTTCGATATCCTTAGTATTCTTTATAATATTCCTCCTAATTTACCTTACTTAATACTTTACACTCAAGTGTTTATTCAATTTTATTCAAACCTACGAAGAGACTGAATAAGTTTAAGGTAATGAAAGAATAACTTCCCTTACAGGTGTATAACTTGTTGAAACGGTAAGGTAATGAAGGAATATCTTCCCGTACTGTACGGGAAGATATTCTTTCATTACCTTACCGTTTCAACAAGGTATACACCTGTACGGGAATATATTCTTTCATTACCTTACCGTTTCAACAAGTTATACACTTGTACGGAAAGTTATTCTTTCATTACCTTACCGTTTCAACAAGGTATTCACCTGTACGGGAAGATATTCTTTCATTACCTTACCGTTTCAACAAATTATACACTTGGTGTATAACTTGTTGAAACGGTAAGGTAATGAAGGAATATCTTCCCGTACAGGTGTATAACTTGTTGAAACGGTAAGGTAATGAAAGAATAACTTCCCGTACAGGTGAATACCTTGTTGAAACGGTAATTTTATCCATGTGTACCGTACAGGTGTACACCTGGTTGAAACGGTAATTTTATCCATGTGTACTTCAGCGAATTGGCAATTAAGTACCGGATTACTGTATCCAAATTTACAATATAGATAAAATAGGCAAACGTCGAAAATGCAGCCTTCAAAGTCGGGATATAGATGAAACAGGCAAATGTTGGAATTTAGCTTCCAAACTCGGAATATATATATATAACAAGTGAACGTTGGAATGCAGCCTTCAAAGTCGGAATATAGATAAAACAGGCAAACGTTAGAATTAAGCCTCCAAACTCGGAATATAATTTAACTGAACTTGTCAGCTGCTCAGAATATTAAATGAAGTAGCATCTTTCTTGTAATTATAGTATTTTGGCACTTGTGTGTAAAGTTAAAATCATAAATAATATTCAACGTTAAACTGGTACACAATTAAAAACATTTCATTTAGGCCTATCTATGGCCTTCAAAAAGTTGACGACTCTACATATTTCGACGTTATACTTGAAATGACATAACAGTGAAAATAAGATACTCATAATAATTCAAATATATTTGTTTTTTAATTAACGGAGTATTCAGTCTTTCTTTCTTTCTTTTTTTTTCTTTTCAGGAAACACGATTTTGATACCCTACAGGGCAAGGCTCGATATCAGTCCAAAGGAGGTGTTAACTGTCTTGTTCTCAGTCCAGGAATAAAAAGTTGTAAGTATACAAAAAAAAAAAATACTTTCACAAGATCATGGTATTAATATTTATTCAATAAAAAATATCAACATTAACTTAGATTACGTAATATAATGTCATTATTTATTATTACTGACAGATGTATAAATGAAACACATACTTCAAAAAATAATTTGGGACTTTCAATTAAGAATTATAGCGCTTTTTTATTGGCTGACGGTTCTAGTGGCGCCATCTCATGGCAGCGTTTGAGCAACAATTAAACTTTATATATATATATATTTAATGACTTCTTGAACATTCGTGTTTTTTCAACATCGTGAGTATATATATTTAAGATACTCACTAAGTTTAAGAAAACTGCCAGAAAATTTAATTGTTGAAGTGTAAACAAAATTTCCTGGGCGCGCACAAAAAAATATTTTCGGGGGGGGGGGGGAAACATATATGTAGGGGATCAGCTTTTACAGTGTAAGTCAACAGACTAAAAAAAAATGTGTTATGTGTGGTTACACGCAGACACAAATTTAGAGTTTTAATAAAAAAATGCTAAAAATCTTTAGTTTAATTAAGATGTTAAGCTTACACCATAATACGTGCAATTTTTTGTGAAATGTAAAGGAGGGCAAATGCCCCCTCTTGCCCCTTCCTGCGGGCGCCCAAGCAAAACTCTTCACTATAAATAAGAAGTATGAATTTCTACAACTAATTCTCCCAAAAATGACAAAAAATTCTGATATACATATATGAAGATTATGTCTACAGGATGTGGTGTGCTAATGAAACGTTGTGCGTCTGCGCGAGTTCCCTCTAATGCCTTTCGAGTTATCTACTTCTTCACTTTGTATTTAACATATTATACTTGCCACATCTCCCGATTCACGCGGTAGGCTACTGATTTCAGAACCTTTCTACAAGTCCGTCAGTGGCAAGTCTGAGGGCTTATGACGCTAAAATTCCTTTCTGCAAAATATCAGTCCAAAACATTTTTTTATTTATACACTATGAATAACCGTTTTAAATTAAACAAAGGCCACGCGATGTTTTTAGTTGATTGGGGCAACTACTAGAATCTTGTCTGTAATAATTCTTTGGTCTAGAATGTAGGAAATTGAATTACATCACCCTCTTCTTGTTTTCTCAAAATTTTCCGGGGGGGAGCATGCCCCAGGGAACTTCTAGCAAGATGCATGGGTACCTTTGGCACCTGTTGATCTACATCTTGTTCTGTACAAAAGGTTGGTAAATACGATATTGTACAGAAAATGGTTACTCAAGCAGACATTCATTGATATTGTAAAGAAAATGGTTACTCAAGCAGACATTCATTGATATTGTAAAGAAAATGGTTACTCAAGCATACATTCATTGATATTGTAAAGAAAATGGTTACTCAAGCAGACATTCATTGATATTGTAAAGAAAATGGTTACTCAAGCAGACATTCATTGATATTGTAAAGAAAATGGTTACTCAAGCAGACATTCATTGACATTGTAAAGAAAATGGTTACTTAAGGAGACATTCATTGACATTGTAAAGAAAATGGTTACTCAAGCAGACATTCATAAGTCCGCCTTCTTAACAGATTTGTATGATTACGAATAAATGTATATATAATAAGTAGCCATGATCTCTCCTTATGAAGCTTCCCAGTGGCACAGCGTTACGTCTGCGGACTTACTACGCTAGAAACCGGGTTTCGATACCCGTGGTGAAGCTTTGTGCTTAACTCTTTATTAAAATAAAAGGTCAGAACTACATACGGTGTACAATAACTTGTTTTTAGGTTAATATTTTAAAATACCTTTTGCGTCTGTCGAAGTCTAATTATTCGGAAAATAAGTTAATTCTTCACATTATTAACTTTTTACTAATAATTACAATAATTTACTTGATTCTATTAAAACATTTAAGAAATGTAATCATTGTTTTCAAACGTTTCCATTTTTGATTCCAGTGCCGTATGGAGCGGACATGTGTATTATATCGACGGACTATAGCAACTATGGTGTGATGTACGTTTGCAGACCATTCAAAGGGAACAAGAAACAGGAATATATATACATAATGTCGAGGACTCCCACTTTAGAACCACGGCTCAGGGCACGAGTTTTAATTGATAATATTGTCCGTGGAGGGTTCCAAGTTACACCCTTTGCTCCTATGAATCAACTCTACTGTCCTTTACCTTGATATTTAGCTCCATTATCAGAAACCATTAATTATTTCCATAATCAAAGATATGTGTTTTTTTAAGTGTTTCAACGAAATTTTAACTGTACTTTATAGATATGGTTCATCTTGAAAAAGTACCCATCACCCCTTCGTTTATATATATTGAGCTATCTTGTCAACTATGAAAAGAAAACTTAAACTAGTTATCGATGCCTTAAAAATACAGTAAATACAAATGTCTTTAACATGATTCATCTGTCTTGATAGTTTGCCAGAAGGTGACCGTTTTATACCACTTTAGATAAACTCGATTCAACACATTTAGCGTGTTAAGACGTAAGGCACTATCCATTTCAGAGTCCTAGAAATTGTTCCTTAATTCAATTTAACGCACTAGTTCGTGTACAAATTTAGGTTTACAGTTTTGACATTTATTAGTAGTAATAAAATTGCACATACATTAAAAACACACGTGCAATACACGCCTTTTCTTAAGTTTTAGTACTTGAAACTGTAACATTGTGTATCCATATATATATATATATATATAAAGATCTAATCACAATATCTTAAACTAACGTATGCGTTTTACAAAACAACTTGTTCAGTTGTAACAAAAAATACTAACATTTTAGAAAATTCATTCGTGGGCTGAAATATTAAAAATATATAACGTTTATAAACGGGAACATTTTACCTCAAATGTTTTAAATTTTAATATTTAAGCATAACGAAAGAAGATCGATAACTAATACTCAATTCTCCATTTAGTAAAAAAAACATTATAGAAGCTGATTCTTAAAATCACTAATTTTATACACTGAGTTCCCAAAGGTTGTAATGTATCTATAAAATTACAATCGCAATATTTAAATTGAAAATAAATTTGACGAATGAATTGAAGGGAAATCGAAACGTTTCTAGTTCACTAGTCAATGGAATATTTGAATTCTGAGAAAGGGAGAAGTGTGCTACAAAACTATATATATATTAAAAACTTAATGGTTGTGTTGAATTACTGAAATGTGTTCTAGGCATTTGTACTTCATTTAAAGCGAACATTTCAACTAAATAACTTTAAATTAAATCCTCAAAAATAAACAGAAATAATTTATGTTTAGATTAAAATCTTACAAAGTCAAACAGAAATAGTTTATTCTAAGTATAGTCTTAGTTGCTAGTTAATCCGACTAAAATTTAATTTTACATAATAGTGATTAACAAATTATTACATTTATCGAGATTATCCTTTAAAAGATAACGAGATTAATATCTGAATAGATAATGAGATAATCCTTTAAAAAGATAACGAGATTAATATCTGAATAGATAACGAGATAATTCTTTAAAATATAACGAGATTAATATCTGAATAGATAATGAGATAACCCTTTAAAAAGATAACGATATCAATATCTGAATAGATAATGAGATAATCCTTTAAAAGATAACGAGATTAATATCTGAATAGATAATGAGATAATCCTTTAAAAAGATAACGAGATTAATATCTGAATAGATAATGAGATAATCCTTTAAAACGATATCAATATCTGAATAGATAATGATATAACCCTTTAAAATGATAACGAGATTAATATCTGAAATATCTGAATAGATAACGAGATAATCCTTTAAAACGATAACGAGATGAATATTTGAATAGATAATGTTTGTTTGTTTGTAATTAAGCACAAAGCTACACAAGGGCTATCTGTGCTCTGCCCACCACGGGTATCGAAACCCGGATTCTAGCGTTGTAAGTCTGCAGACATACCGCTGTACCACTGGGGGCTAATAGATAATGAGATAATCCTTTAAAACGATAACGAGATTAATATCTGAATAGATAACGAGTTAATCCTTTAAAACGATAACGATATTATATTTTGAAATTATAATTCTGCTTAGAAGAGAAACAAGGTTTTTGTGAAATTTTCATTCCAAGTGATATTATTTTGTTACTGACGAGCTTTGGACTAGAAAAAACAAAACAATACTTGCATTAATTATGATATAAATTTTTATTCAACATATTTAAATATTTTGAGAATAATAATTGTTTTTATTTGCAAAAATATGCTATCAGATATTTATTCTTCTGTTACTTAACGCTACTTTCTCTTTCAGATTATTATAAGGTAAAAACATAGTGTATATGCAAAACATGCTACATCTTCATTTCCATTATCATCTTCTCTAAGCCTAATACCTAAGCCTAATATGTCGTCTTTACTTGGGCACCATATACTAATATACTTTTCCAAAGATCAAGAATATTTATTAAGCATACACATATTTTATATGATGCAAAACGTACGTTCAATCTTTTTGGTAAATGACTTAACTTAAGAAATAAAGCCAGATCTTATTATAAAAGCAATCTTGTAACGGTATAACCTGAGGTACTGCACAAAAATATT